TAGCATGTGTCGGCGCACGTTGTGGATTGCGACCCTGGCAACGTTGTGGCGGCGCGCATATCAGCCAATCAAATCACAGATACGTTTGGGGGACGTGAACGCGGATATTTGCGAGCTCGATACGCCAATTTTTGCTAATAGCAATTGCTATTAGGGAGGTAGGCATTGAACCAACCGTCCAAGTTCAGAGCTGCAGGATTTATACGAAACCGTTCCCCGTATGCATCCAAAGATCTTTGAAGACGCACAGAATATGCGCTTTGCAAAATCACCTACGTTTTGACCTCCTAGACAAAGAAGATATGACTACCACTTGAAATTATAAGCGAAACCTGGCTGCATGCTTGTCGACGTGAGATAATAAATCCGTTGCGCCTCGAGGCTCAGTCTATAGTCAACTCTAAATTGCCTGTGGAGCCGCACGCGATCGCGTATCGACAAGTAATTATGACGAGTGAGTACCACTTCAGAGAGTTTATTGGTATCACGTGAACGAGGGGGAGGGATAGGTGGTTGTCCATTGGGTTACCATACTTGCAGGATGGAAGGGGAAGTCGCACTTTGACTAAGAACTTCAGCTGAAGCCTTCGAAGACGGCCGGGCAGTAATGAGAAACTGATGCTCGAGAAACGAGTGCCTGGAAAGAACCAGAGGAGGTTGAAATACCCTTATCGGACCAAGTAGTTCGTCCGAGATTGACCGGGCACATGCGTACGGCAAGTGTGGATGCGAAAATTAGCGAGCACGCCAGGATTCGAACCTGGAATCTTCTGATCCGTAGTCAGACGCGTTATCCATTGCGCCACGCGCCCGCTGTTCTGCGTCTGCGTGGCTGCCTACTAAAGCACGTGCCAGCGCTATGATGGGCGTGGTCACACGTTGGCGGACTTGTCTTGCCTGAATATGCCTAGCTATTCCATATCCACCTCCATCTTGATTTTACAGACACTGAATTAAATAGTGGTTTGGGCAGGCTAAAATAATCTAGCTGACTGTGCACTTTTACGAAATCAGTTGACTTCGAGTGAGTTCGCACCCCAACAGAAATGACAAGCAGCCAGTTTTTTGCCATTTACGAGCGAGGGCCTTCGACTTCTCCGAGTTGGCGTAATTCGAGTTACGGAGTCTTTGCCATTAGTCTCATTTGATTGCCTAACTTACGGTGAGGTATGAAATCGGCCACTTCGGCCTAATAAGCTGACCGCCAAATGTAATTTTTTCCAGGTAATCGATCCAGAATCCATCAGGTGACCAATAAAGCACAAATAAATTTAGTAAGTGTTTGGTAACTTAGAGTAGTTCAGTTGACTAACTACTTATAGTCATTAGATGAATTTATTCCGCCCTGGTATGCTGGCATTGGTACTCTAGCTCAAGTAAGGGAAAACAAGCGAAAACGAGGGTTCCAGTAAGCATTTGAGAAGAAGGAGACACGGTCGCTGGATGGTTCGCGTTCACACTCCAATCCATCATCGGAGACAGTATCAGATAAAGAGAATTTTTGCATGAGAGCTGCAGTATTTAAGGAACGCAGCAACTATGCGACTGGATACCTATAAAAACTGACGGATCCAACATTCATCGTACGTGGTTGCACTTGGTTTGGAAGTGGCTAGACTGCTAGCATCTGAGTTGTTAACAGCCGAGATTTCTTCACTCCTATTGGGTATTGGTGGGATAATTGCCCAGCTATTTGGCTCATCGCCACTGGCACTGGGGACAGTGCTCACCCTCGCGCTCCCCACGTGCCTAATTAGTCTTTTCAGACAAAGTCTCAGCGTAGAATACGAAGAGGGAGGTCATTACATTTGTTAATAGACTGCAGGTCGGAACATCACTACTCAAGCCGGTCACGGCTCACGTAGTCCTCATCTCTCGCAAGAATTTCAGCATCTTCGATCTTGAATGTATGGCTGGGTCTCGTCGAATGAGCCGCGATCTGGAAGTTGGGGACATTCCTCCACACTTCGGCCCTCCGCGTCCGGAGTAATTTCCCTGTTTCTTCGGCGTAGTCGCTTCGTCCGCAACTACACCACACCCGGTAAACGACTCCAGGCGGTAGTGGGTCCTTCGGCCTCACGACTCGGCGACTTAGTTTGTAGTAATGGTCGACTTGCACTGCATCTACCTCATTGTCTCCTCCCCCTTCCCCATACACCTGAGACCCGTGTCATGACAAAGTCGAGAAGACCGGAGGTGGGAGCGGGCGCGGGTGACTGACTCGGCGGGGTTCCACCACATCCCCTGGCCCAAAACGTATAGCGGCCAGTATCTTTTATAACAGAAACAAGATGGTGGGCGACTCGGATCCCAATTGGCGCAGCATGAACCTGCGGCCGGGCTAGCCACCACACTCTACTGATGACAATAATTGTGCTCAGAATTCCCAATAACACCTTCCAGCCTTCCCTGTGATGGTCGGCGTGACCCGTTTCAGAAGCAAAGCCTAACATATTGGTTTCACTGCGTAGTGGTGGTAGCATGCGTACAGTGAGTGACCAATCTCATGAAATGTTGGCTGAAATTCCGAAAGACGTTTTTGATTAGGAAGGATTACTTGGTCGCGGTTGTAATACTGCTTATCTTGTGACATACTCTTATAACATTTCAGACTTGGCAGGATGTCGGCTTTTAAATGCACTTCTTTTCAATCTTCTGTACACATCGGGCTTGGTAAAAAATGACTACTTAAGCAGCATGCATTTTTCCCATACATTTTCGATGGTCTTGGAAATTCAAATATATTTTATAAAAACCATACACAAAAATATGCCTTTGTTAGTCAGTCAGTAGAAAATCACGTCTTCTTTATATTTTATACTCAAGGAAGGAGTATAATTAGATTTTAAAAAGGTTTTCTGATTTTCGAATAATTTGGAGCCTGATCAGTCGTTGCATTAGCGCTTAGCGATTTCAGTCTACAAGGTGCATGCGTTCCGCGTAAAGAAAACCACATATTTTTCTATGCCATTAAGAAGATGTCTAACGGAGTCCATAAAATTTTGAAATGGATGCGGACCATGTTGTACATTTCACGAGGAGCAGTGGTAAACGGCCAGGTACGATGCTATGTGAATGGACATTTCGCGGTCTTAAAGCGTTTCATAATTAGAAACTTTTTTAAAAGCTAATTATACCTCGATTTTAAGCATAAAATATAAATAAGACGTGATTCTCTATTGATTGTCTAAAAGAAAGCATATTTTTGTTTATGTTTTCTATAAAATATATTTCAATCTCCAAGACCGTCGAGAATCAATGGGAAAAATGCATGCCACTTAAGTGGTCATTTTTTACCGAATACGGTTTCTGCGGGAGGTGAGAAAGAAGTGCATTCAAAGGCCGACATCCTGACGAGTCCGAAATGTTATAAGAATATGCCATAAGATAAGCAGTATTACAACCGCGACCAAGTAATCCTTCCTAATCGAAAACGCATTTCAGAATTTCAGCCAACATTTCAGGAGATCGGTCACTCACTGTAGTTGCTGTTGAGACCCAATACTTGCGTAACATTTTTCGCTTTCCCGAGCACGTTGGTTTTTGGGCAACCACAAACTTTGAGGCAGCCGAGGAAGACGGCGACGAGATGCTATTTGAAAGCCAGCTCCTCAGCTCTTCCAGTGCCACTGAAGAAATCATCCAAATACTGAGTCCACAATTTTTGTCGCTAACGTTGAAAGACCGGGATTCCAACCGTTGCAGGACCGCCTCGGAATCGGTAAACTCATTGGCGTGCCTATCGCTTGCTCGTAGATCATTCCGTCGAGCTTGAAGTACTTGTAGCGACCCGGCGGTGAGAATGTGTGGAGTCTGTGAGCAACAATTATCAAGTCAGATCCCAAGTTGTTGGGAGAAGACGGAAGGCACCAGAATGAGGGGTTCATTGTGCGCAGAACCCGGAGTCGTCCTCTCAGGCGGCAGTGACCACCGGCGAAGCCAGGACTGGTGTTGACGGCGCCCAGTCATGCTTGAGAGTCCTTGAGACAGTGGTGGCAGCCACTTTTGTGGGCTCGTGGGTCAAGCTCAAGTGGTGGCCAGTCAGTGTGTGTTGCATTTGCCGAGGGGTGGTGTCACAGTGGCTTAGGTTGTGCTTGCAGGCGGTGGGGTGCGTTCAAAAGTGGCCGCATAGGCAGCTGCGGCTGTGCGGACGCTGATGTGCCCGAGCTGTTAGTCATGTGAATTCAGGTCAGCGCGTCTGGAACGGCTCACTGCAGAGGGGTGAATGACATTGAGGCAGTGAGGTCTTGAACAATGACGCCAGACCGGCCATGATGGCTGCCCACTACATACTTCTTGAGACAGCGCTGCAGCAACTGGCGGATTCTGGTGTGTCTCGAAAAGGGCTTCTGCTGTCGGGAATAGAAGCAAAGGGAAAGTGACATTTAAAGATGCCATTACCTTGGTTGGCAGGAGACTTACTCCTTTCAGTTTCTCCAAGGATTTATGCTGACGAACGGACCGTGGTCTCTGGACCAGTTGTCAAAAATCTGAGATGCCAAAAGAGCCGTCTTGTCAATCCGTGCGTTGGAGTGCCTTTGGTGATACGATGCGCTGTATAGGACAACCCTCTGTATGCGTTTTTTCTGAAGGCCATAACATCGGGCCAAGGCCGTTTCTTGGCCCCCGAGTTCTGCATTTCCAGCAACGTTCCATTAATTTTGCGTGTCAACGTTTTTACGAAATTGGTCACGGATGGAACAGAAGACAGAGAGGGTTACTGGACGAAGGCTGCTAACTGCGATCTAGCCATCAGCTTGTTTTCTGGGTCATTGACTGGAAATAAAAGACTTTTGTTTATGCGGCATAGTGGCGGCCTTGAGAGCCACAATCATTAGTGCCCAGGCTCATTAACAGAACAAGCGTCACTATTTTATGCAGCGCTGACCGCTGGCGACATCAAAGTGTGTGTGGCGATGTTAAATCGTACCCAAGATTAAAAGAGAGAGAGAGAGACCGAGAGAGAGAGAGCCCGTGGTGTCAGTTGACTTGATAGGTCTATGGGAGCAAGTTCAAGTACCGCCGCCGCCGCCGCCGCCGCCGCCGCCGCCACCACCGCCGCTGCCGCCGCCATTCTCTTCTTCTTCTTTTTCTTCCTCTTCTTCTTCTTTTTCCTCTTCTTCTTCTTCTTCTTCTTCTTCCTCCTCTTCTGCTTCTTCTTATTCTTCTTGAGTGAAGTGAATTTGGCGCACCTAAACAAGAAAAACCAGAAGCGGAACGTAAACACACGCCTAAACCGCAGGCAGACGATGCGTTCCACCTGAGAGCTTTTTGCTCAGACTTATCACGTGCCTTCTCTCTGTGTACGTTGAGCTGCAGACAAAACGAGGTTACTTTTGAGAGCCAACTCGACTTGCCTGGCTTCATTGTCTCATTCCATTAGAGACATCTAGGCGAGACCGACAGAGAGGATTTTGGGGACTTTGTGCGGGGACTTTTTGCGGAGTAAGGGCGAGACCAAAGCCGTTCCTACTGCTGTTCATAATTCTTTTGCAGACACAAGTCATCCGAGTGACACCGACGAGCATCCTGCCGACTGCCGATAGAATCAAACAGGCAAGTTCTAGAAAGCAGTTCAGAAGGAGAAGAAGATGCAATCACTGGGACAAGAAGTTTATTAGCCTGACGTTTCGGATTCTTACTCCAACCCATCTGTATACATTAAATTCCCCTGCCTCACGGAACAGCTTCTTGAAGATTGCAAAAAGACATCACAAAATTTGGTCTGCAAAGCAGCGGTAAAACAGTCGATAAGACGGTGTCTCTTGCAGCACCGACTGCACACTCGTCAGTCATACCCAAGACCTAACAGTGGATGGTTGTGTGGGAATCTTCACCAAGAGCGGTGACAACATCGTGTAAGCGTACGAGTCGGTGGAGGGTTTGACGACATCGTTTTCCATAAGGCCGACTTTCAGGACGCGAAAGTGCTCTGTCTCGTTCTCTCCCTCTCTCCCCTACAACCGGTCCTCAAATGTGCGTGTGCAAACTCAAATAGCACTCTACTTCCTCGGATGATGGCGCCACTGTTTCGGGCTTCTACCGGCTTTTCAAAACCTTCGGAGTATTTTTACATCTGTTGACAAAAAGCGGTGCTAAGATGTGGTTATCTAGCCGCACCTGATGGACACAATACTGTTGACCTACTTAATTATGTTGAGTTGGTGTAATTACATCGGCATGCTTTTAGCAACTACCTGTGTTGTCAGTATTGCATGGTGTTCCTGTGCGTTTCGGTGGGTGTGTGTGTGTGCTTTTGGCGGTCTTGTTTATTTGTTGCCGTGTCAACATTTTTTTGACTCAATGCCGGTGGTCCTTCTTGACTTTCGACCTGTCGTCCCCTTCTAACTTTCTCGTTGGAAGTTTCAGGGTTAGGGCTGCGGTTAAGGGTTAGGGCAACTATTTCTCAACAATTAAAAGTACAACCGCGCATCCCCAATGGATTTTCTTGACCTCGTCGCCTGTGCGTTCCCCGGCCCCACCTGAAGAAAAACCCCTACTACTCCCGCTTCACAGACTTTTTATAAGGTAAACTCAAGACAAAGCCAAGGCAGGATAAAAAAGGATTTAGAACTACCATTCTTATAGTATTTTGTTCCTAATCCACCCTAAGGATATTACGATTTCTTAAATTTAGGGGACTCTACACATGGAACATTTTTAGTCGGCAAACGTCAGGCTTCTAAGGTAATGAACATTGAGCTTAATGGACATCTGATCTCAGAGACAAAATCGCGGGCTAGAAAACCCAATGACAGAAAATATCATAGAAACGCACATTTGAGTCTTATATGTCCACGTCAGCAAAACCTTTGCACACACTGAATGTAGTGTGTGTTCAAATTCACATGTGAACTGGAAGTTACCGCAAGTTACCACAACAGCCATTCCGTGAAAACCAAAAGTGGTCTGCATTATTTTGGGTAAGATGTGGTTTGGTAGCCCCACCTGATGGACACAATACTGCTGGGGTTGAGGTTAAGGGTTAGAGTTAGGGGCTATGGTTAGGGGTTAGAGTTAAAGTTTAGGGTTTGGGGTTGGGGTTTAGGATCCGGGGTTATAGTTAGGCGTTAAGGTTATGGTTAGGAGTTAGCACGACTTTTTCTCAACCATTCAAAGTACATCCGCGCATTCCCAGTAGCTTTTCTGGCAGGATGGTAGTAGGTAGCCTTGCCTACTGATTCTACAATTGTAACTACTGGCTCGACTTCAGTATCTGTGATTCCGATCTCATTATGTCTGGGAGTGCACGCGCAGACGCCCTGTCATGGTGACTGTCTTGTTCACTTTAACCGCCCCGAGAACGAGGCGATGCAAAAATGCCTATATAGATTCAGTGCATTGCACGCCCACACGTAAATCTTTAGTAAAAGGCGAAAGATTTATCCTAGGCGGATTAGGATTCATCATGCTTCTCATTACCATCCTAGGCGGATTGGCGCGGTTCTCCGTTTTGTCGGTTTGCCTGCGTCCTTGGGTCTTTTTACTCCAGACCTCCTGCAGAGTCCGGCGTGATCGTGTACGAAAAGGACAACCGGCGCGCAGATAGGGTGAATACCGATACTCCACTTACTGCATCAGTCACATTAACAGAGTCTTGCCTCCACCCACCCCCCTTTACGAACAGCCCGGTTGTATTTGGTCTCAGGGGTTTGGGTGAAAACTGAGACGCCTTGTTAACACCGCCATGGCCAGTTAGCGATCCTTTCCTGCACTTCCAGTTTAAGGCACTACGATTTCAGTAACTGTGATTACGTTCTCATTATGTCTGGGAGTGCACGCGCAGAAGCCCCGAGAACGAGGCGATGCAAAAATGCCTATATAGATTCATTGCATGGCACCCCCCACACGTAAATCTTTAGTAAAAGGCGAAAGATTTATCCTAGGCGGATTATGATTCATCGTGCTTCTCATTGCCATCCATTAATTCCTCTACACCTTTCACGTATAGAACACAACTACTGCCATAGTTTCAATCCTAAATGTGGCCACAGTGGCAATAAACTATTATTTGCGGATTTCTCTTCCGCCCAAAGATATTCTTGGCATTAAAGTCTTACCCCGCTTGTGTTATACCGTCCTGCGTGCCGCTGCTTGATTCTCGTGTTCTCATGTCCATTCTGTCGGTTTGAGTACTATCGCACATGCTGCGGAATGACCTTAAGACACACCGCCTTCTTCCCATTGGCTGCTCACCTTCCGTTGCTATTCTTTCCAATCTGGAGCAAGGCGGCATTTATTCCGCATACCGTTCTAATTAACCATGCTCATTTCCATACCCTTCTTGCATTTTTCACCTTGTTTGAATTAGGCTTTCACTTTAGCAGGAGCGTCAATTCCAGGCATACACTACAAGCGCCATTTACGCCTCCACTCATTTGTCCCACCCGTATAGCCCCTATTACCACCGGTCCTGCAAGACGGATAGCTGGGAGTTTTCGGCACCGGGAGGGCTACCACCTACCATCTAACCGCTTTTCTTTTGCATACAACTACTTTACCTCGTCACCTGTGCGTTCCCCGGCTCCACCTGTAAATACCCCTACTAACATCGGTCATTCAAAGTACAATCGCGCGTCCGCGATGGATTTTCTCTCGCATACACTTACTTGACCTCGTCGCATGTGCGTTCCCCAGCCCCATCAGCAAAAACCTCTATTGCCACTGGTCCCGTATTACAGGCGGCTGGGGTTTGTTTACCTCAGGTGGGGCTATATAACCACATCTAACCACAGCGGTTGCTTTGGGGAGCCTCGTCTAGTCAGTCTGTCTGAAGCAAATGAACTTCCGAATTGCCTTCCAGACCAACGATCAGACGAGACGAATTCATATGAAACGGCTAACCGCCTTGCTATCGCAGTAGGCTGGGCGCGAATGGAGCATTTCCTCCGAAAGTGCATCTGAGGAGTGCACTCTTACCTTCCTGACACATGGTTTTTGTCCATTCTTATTTTCCAGGTACCGTATTTTGATATTGGACAATTTTCTCTTGTCTATCTTCTTCTTCTTCTTCTTCTTCTTCTTCTTCTTCTTCTTCTTCTTCTTCTCAGCATACGTTATGTTTGTTCGGAAATGCAAACGCTATCGATAAGGTGCTGCTTTCTGCTGTCAGGACGCCTGTACAGCGTTCTAAGAAGTGTCGCAGTTTATATTTAAGTTTTAAAAAGTTTCTAATTATGAGACTTTTAAGACCGTGCGATGTCAGTAATAACAACATCGCACATATCCGTTTACCAAGGCCTTTCAGGGAATGTACAACACAGTCTGGATCCATTGTAAAATTTTATAAGTTCTATATGGCATCTTCTTAAAGGCATAGAGGAACATATGATTTCCCTTTCGCGGAAAGCATGCATCTTGTAGACTGATATCGCTAAACGCTGATGCAATGGCAGATCAGACTCAAAATTATTCAGGAATCGGGAAACCTAAATATACACTTTCTTCGGGTATAAAATATGAAGACAGTGTGATTTTCTACCGAACGAGTAAAAGAAGGCATATTCTTGTGCACGTTTTCTATAAAATATATTTGAATTTATAAGACCATCGAAAATCAATACGAAAAATGCATGCTACTTACGTAGTTATTTTTTGCAGAGGGCGGTTTCTACAGGAGGTCAAAAAGGAGTGTATCCAAAAGCCGACATCCTGATGAGTCCGAAATTCTATAGGATTATGCTACAGGCTAATCATTATTACAACCCCACTTAAGTAATCCTTCCTAACCGAAATCACATTTCAGAATTTCGGGCAACATTTCATGAGATCCGTCACGCACTGTAATTCTGTCGACTTCATCCATTAGCCTACCGTTTTGCTCAACTCGTAAAGAGAAAACCTTTGACACATGTTTTATTTCTAATCATTCATTGCAAAAAACTACTCGTATGACAAAAAAGTGGTAAGATGCCGTTATGTAGCCCCACCTAATGGACACAGTATTGCTGGGGTTAGGGGTAAGTGGTTATGGCTAGAGGCTAGGGTTAAGGGTTAGGGATTAGGTGTTAGGGTTAGGGATTAGGGCAACTATTTCACAATCATTCAAATTTCAACCCCACATTTCAAATAGCCGTTCTGTTGCATACAATTGTTTGACCTCGTCGCCTGTGCGTTCCCCGGCCCCACTTGCAAAAACCCCTATTACCACCGGTCCCATATTACTGGTGGCTGGGATTTTTTTTACCTCGGGTGGGGTTAGATAACGTCGTCTAACCTAGTTTTTTCTTAAAAAGCCAGACGCACGCTTCCTCCAAGGATGCAA